ACAAGCTTGTCTGTGCCGGTTTGCTGCCAAGGACCTGTCTGTCTGTTAATTAAATGCCGTAACTTATCTTTGGCTCTGAGTGTGTTGGTGTAGGACGAGGGGGGTCAGAACAGTTAGGTCAATGATGGCAAACCTTTTTGGCACTGAGTGCCCAACCTGGAACGTGTATGCATGTGCGCAAACCGGAAACCCAAAGACCAGCTGGCCAGTGCACATGCTACCCAGCTGGTCTTCGGGTTTCCAGCACATGCATCAGCCAATTGGTCTTTGCGCATGCCAGGGCATTAGAAGCCCAAAGCTGGCCGGCACATGCATGCCTTTTTGGGGCTGGTTTTTTGGCTGTTTTCCAGGCCATTTTTGGAGACATTTTCCAACGCTTGCAAAGACCAGCGTGCCAGAAACCAGAAGAACAGCTGGTGATGGTGCATGTGCCCACAGAGAGGGCTCTGTGTGTCACCTCTGGCATGCGTGCCGTGCCATAGGTTCGCCATCACAGGGCTAGGTGATCATTCCTACAAGCTCCGAAGAATCTTTTAACCGCTACCCTGTGAATTCTCTGCTTGTTATTCGAGGAAAAAGTATTCCATCTCACCATCTCCCTTCTTCTCCTCCCCTCTCCCCCACCCCTCAAATTTCTGTTTCAGGCCCAGGCGTGTCTGCTTCTTCAGAAAGCCCTGCAGAATAAGTGTTTCAAGCTTTCATTGTCTGGAAAAGAGTGGGAAGATTTCATCAGAGAAAGCACCCATCAAATTACGGAGGTAGGATGAATCGCTCTGACTTTACATTTCCTGATACGCATCGTATTCCTCTTTCTTTTCTAATCCCTGTTCATGTGTTGGGGAAAAGAAAAACATGTGAGTGCTGAAACTGAAAACGGGCTGTTTTAGAGCAACAGAGATGAGTTTGGAAAAAGATTGGTGGTGTCTGTTAATAAAGTATGAGCCTAGCCTGGGAAAACAGTAAAACATTTCGATAAACATTTAGAATTCTTTATTGGCCAAGTGTGATTGGACACACAAGGAATTTGTTTCTGCTGCATAAGCTGTCAGTGTACATGCAAGCAATAAGTGATAAATCATGATCATAATCATCGTAAAAAATACATGCATCGTAAATCATAAGATACAATACTTAGTGATAGTCATGGGATGTTAAATAAGCAATCAACATAAAGCATACTAGGATACTAAATAAACAATATATATCGTAAGATACCAACAACAAAGTTATAGTTATTATAGAAGATAAGGAGACAGGTAATAGGAAATATGAGGAGAATAATAATAGTATTACAGCCTTACTAGATAGTTTGACAGTGTTGTGGGAATTAGAGTGATGGCATGGGGGCAAAACTGTCCTTGTGTCTAGTGTGCAATGCCCTCTAGCGCCATTTCAAGGGTAGAAGTTGAAACAGTTTGTGTCCATGGTGTGAGGGGTCTGTAGATACTCAAGATTGCCCCATCTTGATTCTCCTTGGTATAAGAGGAAGGGGGAGATAGGAGAAACACTGTCGATGTAGTATTTTGGCTGGTATTAATAAAGTAGAATTTTGGTGGTATCTTATTTCCTGACCTGGCCTACCTAGAAGGGCTGACATCATTCTTGAAAGCCTAACAGTGTTTCCCCTTCCCTCCTTTTTACAATGAAGAGAATCGAGATGGGACAGTCTATCTCCTACTCACACTTTGCTATTTACCCAGACTTAATTCCCTTTTTTGTTAATAGTCTTCGCGTTCCTTCTCCAAGGAGCCATTCAATGGAAGTGCATTGTAACTTTGAGTGATCACTGAACGGTCAGTTGTAAGTCGAGGATTATCTTATAGGCATTACATAGCAAAGAGGCTGTTCTGACCCAGCCTTAGTAGAAGCAAGAAATAGACTCCTTGTCACAAAAAACCCTCTTTATTTACCTCTTGTGAATTAATTAGCAATAGCAATAGCAGTTAGACTTATATACCGCTTCATAGGGCTTTCAGCCCTCTCTAAGCGGTTTACAGAGTCAGCATATTGCCCC